CCAAATGGGAAGATACCAGCGGATTTAGGGAACTTCTTAGTGAATATGAACTAAAATGAAATTCAACCCACCCCTTATTTTGAAAACGTGTGAAGACAGCCAGCCCACCTACCTGTTTCCTTCCCCTCCAGGAGGAACGTGCATTGGGGATTTTCGCTAATTTCTTTCCCCAAAACGTGAATGGACCTTTCGTCAAAAGATGGGCGAACACACGGCCCCGGCGTGGCCCAGTTTGCTGAACTGCCGGATTCCACCTTGCGCATGGACGAGAGCATCTTTCTCGCAGTTCTTTCCCTAATCCCAAGATGCGAACTCCGTGTTGCTTCTGCCGGGCAACCCTTTGCTGTTCCCATCTGAGCCAGAAATCCCTCCCTCCACCCGATCACCATTCCAACTTCTGATATGATTTAACGGCAGTACATGGGAGGGTTATTACAAGACCTGGGAAGACTTAGCTAGGCCGTATTTCACGTTTGCCTGTGAAATCTGAGACCAGTGTCATGAGATGGTCCCTCGCTTGATGCCCAAGAGTGAGCCGTACCAGGACTGAGCTGAATGAGGTAATTTGGTGTTTGGACTCGGAGTGGGCTGGGGTACAGGGGGATGACATGCGACCAGTCGCTACTACCAGAAAGGTCCACCCCAAAGTCTTTGAGGCGGATCTGCATCCACCCCAAAGTCTTCTTCTGAAAGGACCCTTCTTCACCCTAGCGTCTAATTGGGTCTAATGGGTCTAATTCTGCCACCCCAAGAGCCTGAATGTTGCTGGGAAAGGCAATGAGGCTCTTGCATACCTTCTGTTAGGCTTGGTGTGTGGAACCCCTTTCTGCCAGAGGGCTGCAGCCAATTTCAGCAACTCTCTCGGGGCCCTCTTTGCAACGGCCAAAACATTAGCCAAGCCAGCATATTTCCGCTCGAGACCCTTAGGGCCGGCAGCCAAGCCTTGGGCCAGCAATGAGAACGGCGGCTGGACTGTATAAAAGGCTGGGGAAACACCGGCCGACGGGGAAAGGGGCGGAGGTGGGGGAATGGGTTCCGCTTTGGGCTCCCAGCTTTACTGACCTTGCAGGGTTGTTGTGAAGAGATACATGGAGAGAAGGTGGTCCTCGAGCTCCTTGCAAGGAGAGAGCGGGACAGGAATGGCCTTGCCAAGACCCTCGTCCTCCAACTGACCGTGCCCCTGCAGTGGAGCTCGTCAGGGCATGACGCTTTCCCTAGGAGGAGAGGTGTGCAGATGTTCAAACTGGGAAAATGGGGGGTGGGGTGGGGGTGGGGGGTGGCTGTGGGCCACCCCACACTAGTCAACCTCCCCCTGACGTGGTCTTTCAACCTGGGTTTCTCTGTGCGTTATCCAAACACCACCCCTCACTGCAGCCGGCTTGAACCCGGGGCCACTGGACAAAAACCAGCCCGACCTGCAGCCCTAATCTGGCTTTTTGGGCATCCCCTAACTGCCCCCCTCCCCCCGCATCTTTCTCAGAGCATGAAATGGTTCCCCGAAGGGGCCGGCAGGACGAAAGTGCCATGATAAAAGATCTTCAGGTACGGCCACAATCCGTAATCCCTGCTCCACCCCTTTATCCCTCCTGACCCCAATTTAAACCAGTAACAAGGAGCTGCAGTTCAAAGGGAGGCAGTCAAAAATTGGGAATTTCCCCATGGCTGTGCAACGCTTTGATTTAATGCTTGCAAGCGACTGAAGATTTAAGATTTCCCCAAAAGCGGCTGGGCAGGATTCAGGACCTCTCTCTCTCTCTCTCTCTCATGCATAAAGGAGTGAACAAACTGTCCAAGGAGACGGGAGCCTGCCTCCCTTGGAAAAGAGAACTTTGTCCCGGTGGCGGTGGAGGGGGAGGCGAGGAAACCCCGGGCCTTCGACAATCCCCTCTGTATGTGTTAATCTGGATTTTGATTGAACTTTTGGAACTGACCTGGGCATGAACTTGTGTTAAAAAATCTCCACTGGAGCGGACGGGCTTAACCTCGCCGTTCTGTTTGCTCACGAGGTCTGGAGCCTTCGCTCCATCCAATCCGTGGCTTGACTGACAGGAGAGGAAATGCGGGGCTTGTCACGATGACAACCAACCGGGGTCCACACCTGCCGTGCCGGGGGCAGCCTCTGCCCCACCGAGACAAACTTCGGGGCTGCGGTCAAGTCCACTGGCACCTTTCGGCTTGGGTCCGACTAGGCAGCGGGCAGGGGACGAAATCCAGAGAAAGCTGGCCTTTTGTCTTGCCCCCACTGCCTGTACTTTCTTCCTGCTTCCCTGCTGTGGTCGCCAGTTTCATGATAGCAGCGTTAGGTCCAGTGGCTGCATCCTTTTCTCCTAGAATATTCTTGCAAACAACGTCTTGCTATGTCAGGAGTCAGCCAGGCAAGTAGAGACGGCCTTCCATTCCCCTTGCGCTTGGCGCGGCGTGTCTCTTTGGAGCTTTTGGCAGCAATCGCAAGACGTGGTGATGTAGTGGCAGCTGGGTCTGCAGGGAAGCAGTGCTGGGCCTTCTTTCTCAGCAGGGTGCAGACTCATCCGCCGGCCCCTTCCTGTCTGCTCGCAGCTGTACTGCAGTTCTTCCAGGAGCTGGGAAGAAAACCAATTTTCCTAACCACAGCAGAACGCTTCCTGTTGTAATGCCAAGTCTTGCCGGGTGGCTGGGCCCTGAAGGGAAAATTAAAACCCCGGAGTTTTAGGCAAGACTCATTCTGGGTAGAGAGGAATCTCACTCGAACTGGTTTGTTGATACTGATGGACAGAACTGCCTGCAATTCCGGACTCTCCTTTGGTTGAGATGGGGGCATCATTTCAACACTGATCAGAACACCTCTGGTGAGGAGGAGGAGGAGCAGAGCCACTGCTCTTGAGGGGCAGCACTGGCCCCGGAGCAGGGCCCTTGGCAGATGCCCACGGATGCCACTCTGGGTGCCGGCCTGCCCCGTCCTTCTTCAAGAGTCAATATCCTGAACAGTGGAAAGGGCAGAGATTCAAACAAAAGTTCAGCAGCCATCTTTTCTGAAGATCTGGCAATCCTGCCATGACCTGCCTTGGGAACCACTGATCCATCGGGTCACAGGAGCTGGAGAGCCGAGACTGAATTACTGCCGGCAGCTCCGTGGACGGGCAGATTCCTCCTTGCACGCTGGCGTCTGAATTGTCCATTTATCTTGCGGAGCGGGGATACATTTTGCATTGTTGTACAGTCGCTCATTACAGAAGCAAAAAGGAGAGAAGGCCTGAAATCTTGTCCTCTCCTTCGCGTTATCGTGCTTTTTGAAAAAGGGGAAGAAATAGGGAAGCGATATAAGAGATACCACAAAGCCAATTTCTCTCTCTCTCCCCCCATCACACACACACGACTTCTTTCCCATCTGTGAGGACTCGGCATGGTCGTGATGCTAAGCCAAAGAGCAAATGTGATTTTGGACTGCGTTTTCTTTTCCACTTTGGAGGGAAACGGTCAATTTTGCTCCCACTGATCCATCTGCCACAAAGCTAAGGAAGTGTTAAAAGATTTGTGGGTTTGGATGCATTTCCTTTTGTTTTGTGACTCGAAAACCTTTCTTTCTTTAAAAGGCAACACTGGGAAGGAAATTTCACAACCGACAGAACTTTTCCTAACTTGACAGGTCTTTACAAACACCCCTGCAAGAAAACAGAAATTTAGACTTAAGAGGCTCCTCCATGTTTGGGCAGTGGCTCTGATTGTTCTAAGCGTTTCCACAACGAACTGAGTTTTACAGATCATCGCCAATGTGTGAGAGGCTTGGTGGATTCCTGGCTTTCATACTGGAATCCAGCAAACATCTGTCCCCAATCTCCACCTCAGGTCTGAAGCTAGTGGAGCGGTGCCAAGCTGACCCAAAGAATTCTGGTGGTCAGGTTCCGGGGAGGCTGTGGGTCCTCATCCACTGCAGCTTTTATTTTGGGCTTTAGAAGAGCTATCCATGGGCGCTCCATGAAAGTGAACATGCCTGGAGGACGGGGTTCAGCATCTGTGATGAAGGATCAAGTGGCACCCCACGATTCCACATGCCGAGGCTGACCACTGCTGAGGTCTTCCAGGAGAGATCCGACGGCTCCGGCCTGGGCTCTGGCATGCAGAAGGGGGCTGGCCTTGAGGAGCTGAGTGGCCGCTTCCAACCGGGGGATTCTAGGAATCTTGCTTGCTTGGACCGTGTCCTCCATCGCGGCCAAGGACAGGGCGAGACCGGCAGCGCTGGGATCCCCCAGCCAGGCGCAGCACCGTGGGCAAGCTCCTCGGGAGTTCAGAAGGCACCCTGGCGCGGAAGCGCTGCTCTGCCAACCGGGAAGCTACCGGCCTCCACCCTGTCTCGCTGTTAGTGGCCTCGGTGAGCAAGGGCAAGCGCTCCCTCAGCGGCCTGCTTGGTGGGACGCTGAGGATCCACGTGGGCGCACCTGGTCCCTCTCTCCTTTGGGACTGCACGAAAGAGCGGATTCAGAATCGGCGGAAGGTCGGATGTCTTTGGCAGGGCTTGCGTAGGGCTGGGCTCCCCAGAAAAGTTGGGCGCTCTTCCGTGAATGGCAGTCCCGGGTCAAACGTGCCTCCTCACGGGGCCATTTGCTGATCTTTGTGTTGGTAGATGCCCTCTCTCCCTCGTTCTTTTAGAAGGGGAAAGGATCCCCTGGCAAACCTCCGGGAGATTGCAATACTTGGGCAAGGATTCCCAGCTCTTTGTCCTTCAGCAACAAGAACGAAAGCGTCTCTTCCCTCTCAGTCAAACCCCACAAGCAGCTCGGAATGGGGCGGATCTTGCACATGGAAGGACCGGCGAGCGCTGTTGGTTCTGGGGCTCAGACGCAAATTCCCGGGTGGAGAATCCTCGCATTCCCGGGGCACGGTCGTCTGGAGCACGTTCCAAGGGGCGGATCTCAGGATTTGGGGAAAAAGGCAAAACAGACAACCCAAGACATGTTTACAGTGCAGGCATCTCTTTGTCACCAGGAGCCCTGGAAACGCCTCCTTCATAGAGATGACGAAGGAGATCCTTTGAACATACAGCTTTATTGGCAATCACATGCGTTTCTGGACAGAGAGGAGGCGTTCCCGGGTGAAAGCCCACTGAGAGGTTTTGCAGCTCGCGTTCATAAAATTAAGTGCATTCCTAAAATAGGTGGGGCCATCAAAGGCCATCTTGCCCAAGGACAGGAGTAAAAGGGGCAGTGACAAAGCACCACCCTTTCCTTGCCGTTTTCTTGCTATCAGCTGGATATCTGAGGAGGACAAGGCCGCCAACATGGCAAACGCCTCGCTTGGGCCGAGTCCTCAAGCTTCTCCCTCCTGCCAGTTTGGGGGGGTGACCCTCTTGCACCCCAAGGGCCGCATTCAGCTGCACCTTGGGAGTGGCTTTCCATTGCTGGGCGGGGCCAAAGCAAAGGGGGAGGGGCCAAATGATGCCGGCATCTTTTAGCTTAAAGCTCTTAATGCCAGGAACTCAGCCTCGAGGGCCGAATTCTCAACCTTTCAGAAGGGGTAAAAACCTTGACAAAAGCCTGAAAATTTGCGGTCAGGGACAGGGCGGGGGGGGGGGGGGACGGCCTTGCAGAACCCCAGAAGTTTGTGGGTGGGCTGAGATGGGCTCTGCCAACAGTTTGGATATTCGCAAAAGAAGGATAATTCTGATGGAGGGGGCCCGGAAATATCATGCAGCTTCCTAAATATGATTCAACAGCTCTCATTCTTACCCAAGGAAGAAAGGTGAGCCATGAATTTAGGATTTCTGCTCATCGTGGGGGCAGAGATGGGGCTGGTGAAAGCAGATTAGGCTTAAAAGACAAAGACATTGTTTAAAATACTTCCTCAAGTATTTTAAGCATGTAATACATTTCCCTGTATTCAAAGGTGGCAGTGGGGGAATTGCTAAAAAGCCGTTCAGATTACAGGAGAAAAGTATCCGTATTGCACAGTACAGAAAATTCAGCGTTTTGTTCATACAGTTCCGGAAGGCGGCCATAAGCAGGCACGCTGGCGGTCGTCGCGCCGTCCGTCTCGGGCGCCCGCCCGCGGGAGAAACGCGTGACAACCGGTCGCGTGGCGGCAGGTCGTCGGCCCGTCTGATTTCTCTCCGGGGACGCCGGGACCCGTTCAGGGGAAGCCGCTGGGGAAGAGGCTCAGGGGCTGGCTCTCGTTGGTCGGAAGCGGCGACCGGTAGCCATCGAAGGTCCGTGGGATGCTGCCGCTGGTGGAACCTGAGCTGTTGCTGAGCGTCTCGATGCTTCCTTCTCGCTGTAGCTCTGCAGCGCAAAGAGGGGACACACTTGCGCCGGTTAGTGGAGCAGAGAAAAAGGCAGGGCTGCTGTTCGGAGACCGGGGGGGGGGGTCAGGGGTTAGGGATGTTTAGCGGTGGGGCTTGGGTTGTCATGCGCTGGCTGGGAGGTGTGGGGAAGGGGGCCATGCGCCTGCGTGCGCGAGAAGGGCCTTCCCGTTTCCCCGCGGGTGTGGCGGCTCCGAGGCTCGCAGGGAGGTAGCGCCCGCACGTGTCCACACGCAGGGTATGGGCAGCGCCCGCCACCCCACCCCAGACTCCCTGCTGCCTCCAAGCTCAGCTGAGCAGGGAATGAGGAGGCAGGGACCGGAGGCCACGCTTCTGGCCTGCTCAGTCCAGAGCAGGCCAAGTAGGTACCGCTGGTACTGCTGGCCAGTTATGGGGATCCGCCCCCTCCCCGCCTCCCCTTCTGTCGCGCGTTCGCTTCAGGCAGGCACATGTGGGAGAGGATCCCTGGCAGAGCCAGAGAGTCCCGATTCGTTTGGCAGCCTCTGCCGTTCGAAGGACCGGGCGGCAAGCAGTGGGGAAATTCCTTCCGCCGAAGACTCCACAGCTAGTTGGTGGAGGCAAGAGCGGGCCAGGAAGGACCGATGCCCTGGATCGGTTTAAGACTGTTTCTTACACTCCTGGTTATATCAAGCCTCTCCTCAGAACCACAAGGACTAGAATGTTAGTTTCATTTGGCTTATTTGAAGGCACTGTCTCCAGTTCAATGGGAGAGCACCTGTTTGCATGCAGAAAGGCCTGAGATCTACAGTTGAAAAGGTTGGGCAGACACTGATGGGATGCCCTTTCCCTGCTGGGGACCCCAGAATGTAGTCAGTAGGCCGATCCGTTATACACGAGTTCTTTACATTCCGTATAAATGTAAAGGACGGGTCCCTCCCCAGTGACACGAAGCTCTGCACAACTTTTTGGCCTGGGCAGCCCACCTCCTCCAACTCGGTCCGCAGTCTCCCATGAGTTCAGGAAATAAAACCCCCAGCAATTTAACTCGGCAAGGAGGAACATATCCCACATTAATGTTGGCCTGATCCCGTCTGGATTTGATCCTTTTATCTCCCTCTGGCTCACAGCTGGCCTTGGTTAAGCATCTCGCCTCACTCTGCGGGTAGCCATCAGCAGGAAGACGGGATGTGGGCAGACGCTCCGCCCGCACACCGCCCCGGCCACCAGACGCCCGGCCAGGTGGCCCATCTCCTTCGCTTGCCCCGACGGCTGGTCTTCATGCCGGGGCTGCATGGGCAGGTTTTTATTTCCATTTTAGAGAAAGCAGGGGGGAAATGCTTCCGCGTATGTGCAGAAAACAGGCATTAATATTTCCTGAGGTTTGCTTAGCCAGAAAGAGCCGGGCACTTTGCCAGAGCAGCATGCGGCTCTTTCGGGGGACGAGTGGAGGCATTTAGGATCTGCTGCACGGCTGAAGAAGGGGCGGACGCCTCCACGCGGGACCGAAGGAGGCCTCGTGTCCGGAACCCTGGGAAGCTGCCACAGGGCCTGTCCCTAGAGGCGTTTTGGAATGCCGCTCCTGGACGTCCCAGCTAGCCGGGCAGATGCTCAGGGATGCTGGGAGCTGTAGTCCAAAGCATCTGCTGGCAGTATGGGGCTGGACGGGCCAGTGGTATGAGGTCCCTTCCTGGGACTCCACAGCAGGGAGGGCAGAGAGTAGAAAGCAGGCAGAAAGAACCCGAACGAAATCCTTCCGAGAAACAAGCCCCAGTTCCCCCTCGTGAGGCAGAGTCCCCAAAGGAGCTCCTGCCCCGGCTGGGCCAGGCCAGCGGTTCCCATTCTCAGGGGCTCCGCTGCTGTTTTCCACTGGTGCCCGGGGCCTCATTGCTGGTGGCCCCCTCGTTTGCGAGGCCACCTCCCCACCAAGGGCGGCCTGGCACCAGCACTCCCACCCCTTCAGCTTCAGGACCAGGTCGCCCCTGCCCTGGCTGGGCGGGATATGATGGCGCACGGATTCCAACCATCTCTAGCAGGCCTCGTCTCTTTCTGACATAATCATAAATCCTGCCTGCTGAAAACCCAACGCTGCGCTCGAGCTTGTGTTTGTGGCTTGTGATTTCTCAGGAACTGCCCAGAGGGCTTGGCTCTGGGGCAATACGCAAATGAAACCAACCGTCACCTTCATGGGACTGATGGGAGTTGGAGTCCGCCGACAGCTGGGAAGCCAGCGTAGAGAAACCCTGATGAAGGCCCCGTGTGTTTTTCACTGGGGACACCAGTCCTGGTTTCCCTCCAGGTGTCCGCAGGCGAGCTGTGCCAGGCTTGGCATCTCCGGGCGTGTGGGGCTGGCCAGCTCCACTCCTTATCCCCCCTCCCAGCTGCGGGGCAGGCAGCTCGACATTCTTGCTGCACCCTGCGCTTCTGCTCCGGCTTCGCTCGCGTTCCCCTTTCCCGAGCAACACTTTCTTCGACCTGTTTTCTTTCCACAATTTTCCTACAAGAAGGCGATTGTATTTTTCTCCCCCGAGAAGTATTTTTGGAACAGGTAGATCGATCCTGGGAGCTCTTAGTAACCACCGCGAGACACCCAACCGAGGCACGCGAGCCGACAAGAAGCGCAAAACTGCCACCTTTCAGCTTTCAAGGTGAGAACGGTCAGAAAAGCTGCGCCACAAACACCGGGAAACATCAAGGCGCTGGTCGTGCCGGGAGGGCGCGAAGCAACGGCTGCTGCTGAATCCCGGCTCGCCTCGGCCTCGAAGCTGCTGCCCCTCTGCTCCAGAACGTCTGAGGCTGAGCTGCCGCTTCTTTCGGTCTCGGAGACCCTCTTGGGGCCGCATTCCAGCGCCTTCAGGGGCCGCAGGTTTAAGAAGCAGGGCCAGAGGCAAAGGGGTGGGGGCCAAAGGGGAACAAGACCGGCAGATTGTCACTTGCTTCTCTCAGCACTGGAAACTAAGATTTGCGAGGGGCTTTCTGGCTTCTCAGAACGGGGAAAACACTGCACAAAGGCCCTGGAAGGAGGAAATGGTCCGTGGCTTGGGGAAAAACGGGTGGGACCGGGGGAGGCGGGGGCCCCTGGGTTCTCCAGGCCTGACGTTCTGCACCCCACCTTCGGCTTGGATGAACATCCCCGGAAGGCGGGAGGGCAGGTGAGGAACGCAAGTACCCCGGCAGGGCAGGAAGGAAGAGGTCGGCCGTGTGTGGAGGCGTATTTCAGGGATGTGTGCAGTTCCCCTGGGAGCTAGTCAAGAATGCCTCACACCCAACCAGAGTCCGCTCTTGAGAAATGTCCTGAAAGTTCAGGCGAGACCAATGCAAGGAAGGCGATGGAGTGGCCCTGTCCTCAGGCAGGAGGAGGGCTTCTGCATTTGGAAAACCGGCCAAATATCTGCTCTTTGGACCGGCCTGATGTATTCTGGGAGCGGGAGAGGCACCGGTGGCTGGAGCTATGGCCTCGGTGGTGCAGGCATCCCACAGCCTGCTCGAGACCCGGGTTCAGATCCTGCCTCAGCTGCAATGCTGTTTGGGCCTGCGGTCTCTCACCTGGCCTACCTCCCAGGGTTGTTGTGAGGTGGGAGGGAGAAAGGCAACCACATTGCCTCGAGGGAGCATGAGCCATGGGGGTTGGCGGGCTGATCTTGCCGCTCATTCCAGATGCTCTCTGGGCAGGGGAAACGGGCCTCTGTGGCCTCCATCGATCTGGCCATGTCTGATGGGTGGGCAAGGACTCCCAGCATTCCTGGCCAACGCTCACGTGGCCTGGGGCTGATGGAAACTGAAGTCCCAGGCAACGGAAGAGCACCAGCTGGGGAAAGTCCGTCTCCGGCGATCTGAAGCGAGAGGGACAGAACCCGAGACCAGCCAGGCTGGACAACACTTCGCTCATCCTGCTTTACCATCTCGGAGGACCAGGGGGGGCAAGATCGCGCAGCACTGCGCGTAAGAGTGGGCCGGATCGAGACCACGGAGGGAAAGACAAAGAGAAGTTCCCGAACGGTTGAAGGATGCCGCTGAATTCTTGAAAGGGAAGGAGGCCCTGCCCGGCTTTGCTTAAACGGGAAACCATTTTTACATGGGACATTAATCCGAGGCCTGAACGAAAATCTATATAGCCCTCCGATGCCTGGACCACTCATAAATTATGCTGTCTTTTCCCGACTCATGCGCGCCCCTCCTCTCTGGTGGATTCCTCCTACTAATGGTTTTTCCTTTCTCCGATTCCTCCCTGGCAGAAGGGGTCGTGGCGCAGAAGCTTCGAAAAGAGGCTCCAAGGGAAGCAACAGGAAGACGCACGCAGGACGGGCTTTGCTGGGCCGGGGAGACCCGCTCACAGGAGCCGCTTCCTCCCTCCTCGAGGCAGGGCGGCCACAAGCCCTGGAGGGACGCCGGCTGGGCAGGAGGATCCGGGCGCGTGGGCCGGCGTGGCGGCGGGGAGGAGGCAGCCGCCGTGACTCCGGACTCCAGCGTCCTGCACCAGCCCCTCGCCCTGTCACAGCGCATTAGGGCTCGGGCGGCCCGACTCGCCGACAGAGTGACCCCGGATGGCCCGGGAGAGCGCGGGGAAAGCACTAATTGTAGTCTCGTTTCCACCCAGCAGCCGCTCTGCTCAGCGGCCAGCTTCTGGGGCTTGGCTGAGGCTGCCTTGTCTTCCCAGGTCCTTTGTGCCAAACGGTGCCGGGACAGACGCCGGCGGCATTTCTGGAAGGAGTGGCCCCGGCCTTCCTCACCTCGCCGTCTTCCATCCCGTCCTCTCTCCCCGCCATCTTCCAACAAGTCCTCGCAGTTACTGAGTTCTGGAAAAGCCTCACAGGCCTTACCCCCTCCGGTCTTCGCCAAACCTTGTGCCAAGCCACCCCCCGTTTGAAGACTGAGACATCAATCGCTTTTATTTATTTGCTGTTGTGCGTTTGCCTGCGCTTATTTCATTCCCTGCTGCGAGTAGCTCAAGAAAGCTTGCAGGTTCCTCCGCTTCTCCAGTTTATCCTCCCAAGAACCCTGCGAGGTTGGTCAGGCTGGGAG